ATATATTCTAATATTTTCCAGAAAGATTCATTAGTGGGAAATTTTCTTGAGAAACTCGGCCTACAGAACGGAGACCTAAGATTCTTGGCAATGTCTCCATCGGATGATACCGCCAAAGCTCCGACCAAGCAAAATATTCTGTTGTACTTGTAACCTATTAGACTATTTCCGTATTAATACGTCTTTCTAGAAGCATTATTTTTGCGGCTTGGAGAGTAGATAGTTACAAGATGTTTGGTTTTTTTTAATATAGAGATCGATTCAACAGTGTTGATACCTATTACTTCTGGTTAAATTAATTGACAAAGCCCATGGTTGCTCTGGATTTATTGTATTAACATATGCATCAGTCGATGACAAGTTTTCTTAATTTGCTAATTGCACTCAAGAATGAAGCAATACGCTATGCATTTTTCGTTGTCCTTATGGAAATTTATCTGTTGATTTGGTGCTGCAGACGGTCGAAAATATCATATTTATGGAGTTTCTTCTCTCTTTAGCTAAAACGGATTCGATTGAAATACCAAAGGACCATCACCTATCTATTTCATTGCAATGCAACTCTTCTAATCTATGTTTTAATAAGTTTCGCTGCTTAGTGTGGTTGCATATTTTCTAAATCTCCGCCTGTTTCGTAACAGAGGATTTGGACAAGGTCTCCTGTCACCACCATTTTGTGATTCAGGTATGTAGACGTGATACTTAGACATTGTCCAACTATTGCAGAACCTCCGGTGTCCACTCAATATGCCAGTTAATCCTCTTATTAATCATGTACCGATATTACGAATCGCCATTGCATTGGGTTCTTTAGAGGCTAAAATTCGGAGACAACACAAAGAATCCTAAAAATACTAATCTTTGTTGACACACGTGATTCTGCTCTTACCATAGAACAAGTATAATTACAATTTGCCTTGGATTAGAAAAATATTGTTAGAAAAGCTTGAACTGGTTTCAGATACTCCCTTTTGCTTAGATTTATTTACTGAAAACTAACAATAGTTTCATTCATACTCAGATCGTAGCTTGCTGGGCTTGGAGAGAAGGAATTATCCTTAAGACATTTTGGCTTGAGTACTTGATGTATATATTTTAATAATAGATGTAAGCTAAGCTGTAGTACTAGTTTGGTTATTTAAGAGATTTCGGTGCAAGAAATGTCAGGTTCACGAAATATACATTTCCAAGTTGTTTCCTTCTATGATAATGTACACTATTTTTCTTCTTGGATTCCTCTAGCTCTTGGTTGCTTCAAATATAGTTGAAACGCTTTAATCTTGATTCTTGATGGTGGTACAGTTGCAGGACTTTTATGTTTAAAAACAAAGATCCTTGAATCTAGTTCCACTTTTGGCTGCAAAATAAATCCCCGTACGACATAATTTTTGCCTGGTTACCATTTCCTTTTGTATGGTCTATGGGTTGGGTCTGTTTCCCAGGCATATATGGGTAATTGCGCTTTTTGATGCACACAGAGATTAATGCTGTTGGATTATGTTTATAAATAGCTATTAGCATGATTGACAATATTGTGTTCAGTTTTTTTGGAATTCTAAACTTTATGTTGTGATGTGACAGCTTCTAGAGTTGACACAAAGTGTACCTCAACTGTCTCCTCTGAAGGTTTTGGATAAGATTGATGATTCACTACATAAAAGTAGTAAGCCATACTGTCCTCCGCACTGCTACAAGGTCTGGTCAGCGTTCATTTTTCCTTTTGCTTATATAGATTTGACAAAGCTATAAGCAACTACTATAAATCTAGCAAGAATCCTAATATAATGTTCTTTTTAGGGATTATACGAGTCATCTGGATTTCTAAATTCTGAAAGTCCATGGTAAATCTTATTCCTGATGTTGGTTTTGTAAAATTATCTTTCCAGCTACTTCACTATCTCCATAGGTTGACATAGTTCTAGCTTAGATGGCAGTTTTTCTATTATCAATATGAGAAATATGTTCTACACAAACACAACAATGTTAGTTTTGCAAATAAAATTTCAGTATCAAATGAAGAGAAGTCATATGCAGATAAGGCCCGACTGTCCAAGGAAGATAAGAGGCATGTTAATAAAAACAAAGATCGTGACAAATCTTTGAAGACATTTTTGTTGTCATTATCATCAGGAAACTTCAGTAACTTGCAATATCAAGTGAAGCCACTGAGCAGATGGATGCTCCTCATAAATCATGTTTGATTCAAGAAACTGTTAAATGCAACGTCCATCAACCAAACATTGTTCTTAGGATTGCTAAAAGTTGTTCAAATGAACACCAGCCACTGCAAGATGATTTTATTAACAACCCAGTAAATCTGCCTCTCAAGTATGTAAAGCATATGGATTCTTATCATAATCTTTCATTTTTAGAGGAGGGTTTTCACCATAAAGAGTCAGAAGCATGTTCAAGCTTAAGTGCAGGACATCTAGATAGAATTCTTGGAGTAATGGAATTCTATGAGAAGAGCATATTGCCAATTTTCAAGAAGAATCGTTTTGAATTGGAAAAGGTGCAAAATGTGAGGTCTTGGAGGGCTCAGTTTCCCCTCCTGTAGAAGATGATAAACTGTTTCTTTCAATGGTTGTTAAGTCAACCATGGTCCATGGTAAAGGCAATTTGTTCTTGAATGGTGTCGATCAAGCTATTTCACTTAGCATGAAGCAAAATTCTTCAACTTGTGATTGCCAGATTCTGCAGGACTTAGATCTAAATACTTGCAGGAAGTTAGAGGAAAAATCTAATTATAGCATCGATCATTGCTTGCTTGATGAGGACAGTTTTATTACATTTGATGAACCACGCTTGAAGCCTGACGAGCAAAATTGGGATGCAGTTGATGGATTCATGTCTAGCCTGAGAAGAGTCCAATTAAAGATAGAATGTGTACACAAAGCTTACCTGGTGATATGATTCTAAAGCTTGTGGAAGATATATTCGATGATGAAAGTTCTCCTGCACCACATTTGCTTGATCCGAAAGTGTACCATAATTCTGGACTTTCTACACAATAGTCAGACTGCAGACGTGCGATTATGTCATTATCAACTAAGACCAGGATGGGATCGACAAGTTCATAACACCTTCCTGAGAAATTCTACTGATTCAGCCACACATTCTTCGCTAATCCACCACTATTTCCCATCAAGCGCTATTTCTCAACCATTCCATCTTCTCCATGATAAAATGACAAATTTTGATCATGCTGCTCCTTTGATGGTCCAGCAGATAAAAAATCTAGGCCAATCTTATCTTTCCTTATTCGGTGGATCCCTACAAGGAGTGACACCTAATCTCTCAATGCACTATGGGTTCTCACACACACTACTGAACTTATGTATAGTTTTACCTTGGTGCACCAGGAATCAAGTCATGAGAGTTTTACACGACTGACACCAGGTAAGAAAACATTATATACATTTTTTATATTCACATTTTATTCCTGTTATATAAGTACTGATGGTTAGGTATCGTAAAAGTAAAATTTCAGTTTTAATTTGATTGGTGTCTGATCCTATCCCATGCATCATTAGGTTATGCTAATGGAAACGGTAATCAAGCATGGCCTTGGCATACCTTTTGAGAGCTTTCTAATGGAACAAAAATGTCAATTGGCTGGTTTGTTTTTCATACTTTCTAGGTCATTTGTCATTAAACAGTCTAGTAAATATCAGTCTTGTAATGTTCCATTGAATTAGTTCAGATATATAGTAGACTAGTTTATACAAACTTCATCAAGTAGAAAATTGGAATAGTCGAAAAAATACTAGACTATACGGTGGAGTCGTATAAATAGGACAAATTACATGTTGCAATAGGTAAAAGTTAGAACGCAGTAATTTCCTTCACTATGTGACAGACCTTAAGCATCATAACTCTACTGTGATATTTGATGCTTACTGCTATTACCATGCCCTCTAAGTAACTAAAAGCATTTACTCATTCTAGAACACATAATCACTCTTCAATGTTTTGGAGTAGTTATACACACACATTTTTTCTTCATGAGAAAGTAAATCATTTATTCCCAAAGTTTTGATTCGGTTGTAATCTCTAAAATAATTTGCATAATTAGGTATATGTAGTTTTGACTTAGTGGAAATCGATTCCTATAATTTTAGCCATTTAAAACATTGGCCTATGTGTTTCAAATAATAATTTGTCTTTATAGTTCTATTTTCTAAAATGTAGGGACCCATATTTTATTTGAAGGGAATTCTGCAAAGAAAAAATGGATTATGAGAGTGTGTGACTTGAACTGTTGACTGGCCGCACGAATATCTGACTTTATCTTATCCGTCACATTTGAATTCACAATGAAATGTGTCTTTATTCCAACCACCTCGCAAGTACCCTACAGAGGATAGCTGGTTCGCCTGAAGAGAATCTTTTTTTATGATCAAATGGGTTCAAATCTTAGAGAGAACACCTTTAAATAGGGATACATATCCTCTCCAAATCCCTTCCTCTTTTCCCTCAAAATCCTATCTCCACTTTTAGATTAAAATGAATTTGAATTGTTAAAATTTGATCCACAGAGTTTACAATTTTATATAATTATTAAATTATTTTATAAATTTAAACTTTTCTATAATTTTTTCATATTATAGTTTTGAAATGTGCAAATTGAATTTAAAAAATTGAAGTTTATTATTTATTTTTTTGTAGTTTTACAAAATACTAAATCTAAGTCATTATTTTTTAATATAAAAATAGAGATGAGATTTTGAAAAGAAAAAAAGATAAAGGAAATTTTGAGAGGGTCTAGGTGATTTAAAGGAGGGTCTACCTAACCACTAAATAAAATCATTACTATCTTTTGTTATAATTTTTATTTCACAACAATGTTATTCAATATGAAATTATATATTAAATACTCCTCCGGTCCTAAATATAAATCCCTTTTACACATTAGTATAAAAGTCTTATATTTAAGACCAGTGGGGTACTTTTTTATTATTATTAACAGAATTATATTCGAGGCCAATGAAAAAGACAAAATGTCACGGTGTCCAAACTTCGAACGCGCGAAGCATTCAAGTAGCCTTCTGGTGGGTTTAGCACTAGGCCGTACCCCTGCTCTTTCAAGTAGCATCCAAGCATTCAAGGTCAGAACTAGGCCATACTCCTGCTCTTTCAAATTTCCTTCCAAGTCCGAATGAATATTATTGTTTCGATTCCCTTTGCATTGACTAATATATCTGTTTGATGACTTATTTGCTGACAAAAAATAGTGTTGAAGGTGGAACTACACGGTGAAAGAACCAAGCAAAAGGTCATGAAAACAACCTCAGGCATTTCAGGTATATATATTCTCTATCTCCTTTATGCAAATCCTGAGTTTTCAGTCTTCTAAGTAAGAAACTCATGTTGGTTAGAGTTTTAAATTCAATTTCATTAGTATTTGGAGTAGCTAATTGGACAGAATACTGTATGGCTGTCATAGCAAAGGAAAAAAATTAACTGGTTTGATTTGGTTTTGTTTTGCACGAGTTGAGTCAATAAATGTAAACATGAAGGACAAAAAGTTAATCGTAACAGGAGACATTGACCTAGTTAAGGTGGTGGAAAAGCTAAGGAAGTTGTGTCATACAGAGATAGTATCTGTTGGAGTAGCTAAAGAGTCTAAGAAGAAAGGAGATAAAAAGATAGAGAATATAGCTAAAATGATTGTGCCTGCTCCTTTGAGTTATAACTATGTTTATTATCCTCCAACTTATTATGTTGGAACTGTGAAAGAGTATCCTAATAGTGGCTGTGTCATATGCTAAATTTTGAACTTATGTTTGTGTGGAAGAAAAAATAAAGAGAAAGATAAGGAAGCATATGGTTGCGATGATAGATATGTAGGGCTTTGTTTTTTTTTTTATATATAGAGAACAAATATACATTTATAAAGATGTTGTGGGCTTTTATATTTTCCCCTCTTGGATTTGGATTGAAAGTGACGTGCTTGAAGGGATCAACCTAAAATATTATATCAAAATCAAAACCAAGTTGGGTTGTTTTCATCTTCATATTGGCTCCTCACTCAAATTACTGTGCAATGAACAATATCAACTTATGAACAGTGCTGGCTTCTTGCATGTGGCTTCGTGCTCTCATTTTGTTTTGTTTTTGTTTTTGTTTTTTTTAAAAAAATTTGTGCTTAGTGTTTCAAATTTCAAAATTCCCCCATCCTCTGGCCTTCATCTTTTCTTCACATTTTTACTCCTTTTCTCAGACATCTGCTTCTCTCTCAACCTCCCCCCTTCCAAATACAGATGGAAGCTTCAGCCTCCTTCTTTTTCTTTCACTTAGATTGAAGAGTCACCACTGCTTCTCCTTCACTTACAAACACTCTATGCAAGCTTGGAGTTCACCATCTGTGACATCCCTCTTGTTAGCAACCATTGGGTGAGGATGCGAGCGCATGGTGGTTACAGTGTTGTGCATAGTTGCTGCCATAGCTAATAAATTAGAAAGGTCTTTCTTTCCTTTCCTTTCCTTCTTCATCTTTTTCTTCTCTATTTTTCCTCATCTTTTTTTCCCATCTTTGTTAGATTCAGTTCTCAAATTTTGCTCCGTCTCAATTTTAGAAGAAATTTTCAGGCATGCCTTTGTTACTTTGAGTAGCTCTTAGTGTTTGATTGATTACTAACAAGTTCTGAACACAACAATGGCTTAATATGAATTGTTCGATTTGAGCAAAAAAAAAAAATCCAGGGAAGGAGGAAAGAATGAGATAAGAGGTTTCAAAGGTGTTAATTTCTCATTTTTATTTTTCAAGGTCTGCTTGCTACTCACTCTCCATACCTCCATCTCCTTTCTTATTTTTTTTCATTAGATATGTACTATTTTCTCTTAGGAAGCAATTGAAGCTTCTTGAGCCTCCTTACTAATTAATGTATCTCAAATCTTTCTTACTTGAGTGAATCAAACTGGGGTTGCTTGACACTGTCATTGACTCAAGATGTCTTCTTTAGAGAATTGAAAAAGAGGTAGAAGAAAATACTCTGTTAGTTTATATATTTATTTATTTTTGGGTTATATGTTATTTGATTATATGATTCTTTTGTATGCATACATACATATATAAGTGTGTGTGTGTGTGTTTTTGGTGAAAATAATATATGTGTATATATTGATTATTGACATGGATGTAAATGTATTAGCAAGTTAAGGCATTTACCTCCAGTATAAATATATGTACTATTGACTGACTCATTTATATAGAGATTTTAAATTGTTCCTCAGAGGTAGATTTGTGATGTGAAATGATAATGTATTTGATTGGTAATAATATATTAGTTGATCGGTTGTTCGAGTTGTTTTCTTTTTATTTCTTCTCCGGTTCTTCAAGTCCACTTCACTAACAGGCTCAATCGTTTATGGTACTAACATGTTGCTATGAATTTCTACACAGTATGCTCTTGTGAAGAGGGTGCAAGGTAACAGCTAAACCATATTTTGTTACTAAACTTTTTTTGGATGATATTACCTGGATATATGATTGATTGTGTATTATTTTGTTATTTGTACGAGATTTATCTTTGACAAACTATACGAATGCTACCAGGGTATATTGGAACCCAACATTTTATCAAGTCCATTGTTTAAAGAGAGAGATGCCAAAGGATCTTGCAAGGAATTGAAGTTGTTTCTTAGCTTGAGTAGGATAGTTTAACTGCCTAGCTTTTGTGATTAGGAGGGTTGCGGTTTTTTTGTGGAGTAACGAAATGGTTAAATACCAAAAATGTATCAGGTATGATCAGATTTGAAAAGATATTGGATGTTCTGATTTGTGTGAGTAGCTATATTGCATGTCAGTTGAATATTACCATTGTGCAAAATATTTTAAATGATGGGATAATATGCTGCTTATGTTTGATGTTAATGTGGTTAATACAATAATGGGATTGGAATTTGATTTTTTTTTTGATATGCAAGCATAAAACACTGAATCTGGTATGCAATAATATGTAGTTTGTCGGATGGGATATGATGGTTTGTTTGTTGGACTTGGTTAAGAGAAAGTGGTCTCACAATGCTTTGGTATGTTTGTTTTATTATTGAGTTCAGTATATGAGCAGAATTTCTAAGATTTCAGAATAATTTTTTGCTAGGTATAGTGTTTCAGAAATTTATGTTTAAGGGGCAATCAGAATGTTTATGTTTGACTGATATCTTATAAATTTTTAATTAAAAATGAACCAATTATACACAAACTTGAATGTGATATATTTTGATTACATTTAAAAGAATTAAAATTCAAACATTTAATTTAAATATTTTACTTATTAACTGTAACTGATATATTAACCGTAATTGATAACCCTATGCATAATAGCACATCCGCCACCGAATTCATTGTAAAATAAATGAGATGTATTGTGTTATAACCTACTCATCGCATCATATTGTCATGTGATTGTTAAAATTGAGTGGTGAAAGTGTGGTGATGGAAGTTAGCCATACTGTGTTTCTTAAAGTTCTGTTTGTTTGTTTAAGGTGTGGTGCAAGGTTCATAGTTTAATTTATTTGATGCAATATAGATTTTGTGTGATCTGCACTCATGTCCATGTAAAGTTGGTGGGAAAGCAGCTTTTTGGTTTAAAGTTAACTTGTGTCAATACGCAATCAAAAGATGATTAGACCTAAAATTATTGATTTAAGATATATGAAGCTTTATGATGGGTGAGAAACCATAAGGGAGCATTAATTTCAATATCTTTTGTTTAGCACCATTATGCTTTCTTAGTCTGTTACGTTATAGATAATTTTAAAAGCAAAGTTAACATATTTTGATTTGAAGCAAGTTTATCTTATCTAGTGTGAAATTATAGTTGTGGGTTATTTAATGGCTTTGTTACAGTTATTTGATTGCCGTAAGAAAAAAGTTTGTTGACATGGTTTATTGTTAAGACATTCAGTAATCTTCATTTAAAGTTAGAAAACAATCTATCAAGGAGCACATGTTACTATTACATATCATGTGCTATTTAATTAGTCATTAATCCTTTGTGTAAATAGTTGTATTTAGTCATAATAAATTTTAGTCATTAAGAAGATTTGGTGCTCTAAGTCCAAATTTATTATTAAAGATGCAATGATCTGAAACCTTAAAGCCAATACACACATGCATCAAGTCATTAGTAAAAAATCTCATTGAGCAAACCGAATGTGTGGGGGATAAAATTTTCTCTCTATGGTAGGGTTTCTGACAGTTCATGTGAAATGCTAGATATATTTACTAACTTTTATACTAAGTTTGTAAATCTGTGGAGGTACATGTAGTCTATGTTTTATATGTTTATATATATGATATCATTGTGCAGCAGAACATAGTTTGACAGTCACAATCCTATTTTTGACTACACACCGATGTTCTAGCTTGCAATGAGCAAGCAAATCCACCACTGCAGTAAGTAATGCTTATCCTTCATGTTGCTTAGTGAAAATGCTGACAGTGATTGGAAGAATGCAATGGTTTTGACATTATCTGCCACTCATTCATTTTGTTAGCATAGCTTTCTACTCAAGGTGTTATAATATGCTGACAAAAAAAATGTTGTAACCCATCAGTTAATGTATTAATTTGCTGATTATGGAAGATGTGTTTTATTTGTTAAGGAAAGTAGTATCACAGGGTGATCTCTTAGTTATTAGGTTGATCACTCAATTATTAGCCAAAAGTATCCTAGAAGTATGTGCATTACCTATTTTAATATAGAATGTGAATATATTATAATAAATTTATATTATTCAGTGTATTTTGAAAAAAGTGAGTCTTTCAAACTGTGATCTAAAACAAATCATAATATTTAAATATTGATATATTACTTTCCCTTTTTTAACTTATGGAGAGCTTGGGTTCTTTGTTCTTTTCTGGAGCAAGATTGGTTTCCCTTTCTTTTTCTCTCAAGGATACTTCAAGATGAATGTTTTATTGAATGATGTCTCATTCTTTAATATAGGCAGTTAGGCACAGCCATTTAATGGGTTTTGCAGAAACTGGTTTGAAATAAATAGAAAATATATTACTTGCTGTAGTGGGATAAAATATATTTCTCTTAGTTTGCGCTTTGAACTTTTGCTTTTGAATTTAAAAAGTGCAGAGTATCTTATTTTCATGCTTTCAACATTAACTGAGTCCTATTGACATGAGCAAAAAAGAATTCGACTGTTATTAGCAATTGATTTTGTTGTATTCATTAGAAATCATGGTTAAGCAATATCTTTCCTTTTCCATTACTTATGTAATGAATACAACAAACATGTTGATCAATGTAAATAGCAGAGCACGAGTGATTTTCTTAAAAAGGTATGAATGTGAAAATAAACAGGAAAAAAATGTTGGCATGGTAGCCACGTCGATTCCAAAGTATCAATCAACATCAATAGTCAGATTTAAAAAGATTTTGAAGTAATGAGTTCTGATGTAGCAGTAAGATATGGCAGTATTGTTTTTTGTCCAAAATATTGGCTGACCTGAAATTGTACAACTTGTTTTCTAGCAAAAAATATTTCATCTGAGACCTTTGGATTATCATTTTATGAGTTAGGAAAACTCATCTGAAATAGCCTATAGTTACTTCATCGAGAACTAGCAAAGCTATCATAAAAGCTCATTGTTAAAGTATTAGATGATGGTAAAGGAGAAATGTTATTATATGATAAAAAATAATGATGGTTACGCTTTAATCTGGAGTATGACAATAATCAACTATTATTAAAATGTTGATGTGAACTTGTACTACTTTTTGCCTAATTGAAAAGGTACACAGTTAAAATGCCGAAAAAAAATAGTTTTCCAATTTAATTTTACATGAGGTAGCATCTAGCTAGCTGAGTCACTCTATCTACCCAAACAATTTTTTTTCTTTTGCTGTTTTAGGAATTATGTTTTTATATTAGAGGATGCAAAGACCTAATCTATTGTGCAATCGGTTTTCTTAGGTGGTGCATAACTTTATTTGGTGTGAACAATTAGTCTTTCGATTATATTATTTATTAACACTATGGATAGTAGCTTCATTGATAACCACGTCACATGCTTCCTTATAGTAATGCAAAATCATTTGAGGAAGCGGATTTAATGAAGTTATTAAACATTTTGCAATAAATAGATTATACATGAAACTAAATTGGTAAATTTATATTTGAAAAATATTTAAGTATATTCTTCCCAGATGCACAGGGGAATCAACGCTAGTTTGTTTGTTATACAAAAGTAGTCTAAAATATTGTTATGATTGAAAATATTTTTGTAACCTTGATAAATTTTTGGTTGCCTTGTTCATATTTAGTTTTCTTTTATTAAAAGGCAAATTTATTAAAAAAATAAAAAGAGTACATAAACAGCCGGCCCATTATATTTGAAAATTTGAGCTAAGCCCAAATTTCATAAAAATTTACCACAAAGTTGTACTGATCCTGAAGGACTTCATAATAATTACGTGATCATTAATTATATCATATCTTCAAGGAAAACAAATAACCCTAACACTAAAAAATTGGGACAGATACATACATACATACATATATATATATATATATATATATATAGTTCCAAGAGGAAGCTCTAAGTTTCATTTGATCCCTTGGTTTATTTCAGATTTTTTAGATATAGATTTTAGGGCTTGTCATCATGCGAACACTTCTAGGTAGGGCTGGTAAAACAGACCAACCCGCAGGTTGCGGGTTGGTCCGTGACAGGTTGCGGGTTATTTGGGTAGGGCTCAAAATGCCCATTTTCTGGCGGGTTGGTATTCTGCCAATCCTAACCCACCAAGGTGGATTGGCAGGTCAACCCACCAACCTGCCAGATTTTTTAAAAAAATTTTTTTCTTATAAATAATAAAAATAAAAAAATAAAATGATTTAAAGTATTTCAAGCATTCACACAAAATTACAACACATTAAAACACAAAATATACAATTGTCCAAAGTTCAAATCCAAACATGATAAAACACAAGTTCAAACATAAATTTTTCCTACCTTTCCAGCCCACCTCCTAATATTTTAATATATATAAAAATTAAAAAAAATTTAGGCGGGTTGGTGGGTTCAACCTGCCAACCGCGGGTTGACTCGTGGCGGTCTCGGTTGTGGCGGTGCGGGCTCATATTTTTCAGGTGGTGGTGGGTTGACCAAAGGCTAACCCTAACCCGCCTCTTTTGATGGGTTCAACCCGCGGGTCTAACCCATATTATCGGCTCTTTTTCTTCTAGAGTAGTTTGCTTAAAAGTTATATATATACGCACATTCATACATATTAATTATGAAATTACGAATTATAATCAGAGTAGTAAGTATGTTTTATGCTTACTGCTATTATCATGACCTCTAAGTAATTAAAAGCGTTTACTTATTCCAGAACATGTAATCGCTCTTCTATGTTTCGGACCATATATTTTTCTAAGAAATTAATCATTTATTCTTAAGTTTTGATTCGATCTGAATCCTTATAGTAATTTGATACAACTAAGCCTTTATAGTTTTAACTTGGTACACATTGGTTCCTTTAATTTTAGTCATTTAAAACATTGGTCATTATATTTCAAAAAAAACATTTTTAGTCCTTGTAATTTTATTTTCTAAGATGTAGAGACCAACATTTTATTTGCAGTTTGTTCGGATCATAAAGAGAATACTTTTAAAAGAAGGATCTATATCCTTTCTAAATCCTCCTTTCTTATTTTCCTCTCAAAATTTCATCTTCATCTTTAGATCGAAGTGAACTTAAATTGTTAAAATTTGACTTACATAGTTGACAATGTGAACTATACTATTAAAGTATTTTATAAATTAAATTTTTCTATATTTTTCCCATATTGTAGTTTTGAATTGTACAGATCAAATTTTAATACTTAAAATTTATTTATTTATTTTTATATATTTCTATGAAATACTAAATCAAAATCATTCATTTTTTACGTTAAACTGAAGATGAAATCCAGAAGAAAAAAAGCGGGGTGGGAATTTTGCCATGGTGTCCGAAACCCCACGAAACATTCAAGTTATTCAGCAGAAGGCTCTGGATTAGACACGGAGAAGACAAAAGAGTGTGGGGTCCAGATTGACTTCTAGTTGACCAATTCTGGACACGTGGCAGTTGTTCACTTTGTGGCCTCTTCAAAGTTGCCATATGAGAGATCAGGAACAAACCCAGAAGGAGAAGATGGCCTTCTTGGAAAAGTCTTCTCTGCTTTTTGCCGTGCACTTTCGAAAAAGCCAAAAGCCATTAACACAAACGAAAGCAAAGAAACAATAATTCGAAATGAGAATGTTAAAGCAGAATGACAGAAAAAAAAAAGTTAGAAATTATAAATCTCAAATCAAATTTGGTAACACAATTTTATTTAGTATTGACAAGTCTGAATTTATAAATAACAACAAATTTTTATTGACATTCCTTATTTGACATTTACAAAATTCCAGCTTTTTTTGTTATTGTCCCTAATGCCAACTTCAAATTTTGATATAAAAATTAATTGATTAATTTGAATAGATAAAAAAATTTTAAATTAGTTATTTATAATAAATAGGTGTTATCTTCCTTAAAATATTCTTACTAATCATATGTATTAATTAGAACTATCATTTGGTGGAATATTTAACATATACAACTACTGATAAAGATTATTTAAAAAATAGATAAATATAAAAAATAAATTAAAAATTTATATTTAAAATTAAATTAAAAGTCGAATTGGTTTTTATATCAAATGGCACAACCAGTATCATTCGTTTGCCGCGTAGCTTTCTCTGAGATGATGACCCAAGTTACTTTAAGCGACGCGTCAAGGACTAGTCAAGGTAAACTTGTGGCCTGGGTTTACCAGGAGTCTTCAAAGCATGCATCTATAAATTTGGCTACCGTATATCTTCACCTCACCGCACTGAATCATATCTTACTAAATTCTAATCTTCCTCTTCTCCACAACCTACCTTCCCTTTGTCTTTCTCGTCTGCTCTGAATTTAGCTTCAACACAGCAATATACGCAAATGACGATGAAGGTCAGAACCGGACCCCTAATCTTTCAAACTTCCTTCCAAGTCTTAATGAATATTATTTTTTTGATTCTCCTTGCATTGATTAAGATAGCAGCCTGATGACTTATTTAATCTGCTGACAGAAAATAGTGTTGAAGGTGGAACTACACGGTGAAAGAACCAGGCAAAAGGTCATGAAAACAACCTCAGGCATTTCAGGTATATACTCTATCTCCTTTAAGCAAATCCTGAGTTTTAAGTCTTACGAGTGAAAAAGAAAAACATCACATTCCTTGGAGTTTTAATCTAAACCCAGTTTCGTTCGAAGATTAGCTCATCGAACAGAATATATACTATATGGTTTTCTATGAAAGGAAAAGATTGACAGGTTTGGTTTTGTTTTGCAGGAGTTGAGTCAGTGAACGTGGACATGAAGGACAAGAAATTAACTGTAACAGGAGACATCGACCCAGTTAAGGTGGTGGAAAAGCTAAGGAAGTTGTGTCATACAGAGATAGTATCTGTTGGAGCAGCCAAAGAGTCTGAGAAGAAAGAAGATAAAAAGATAAAGAATATAGCTAAAATGATAGTGCCTCCTCCTTCGAGCTACAGCCATGTTTATTATCCTCCACCTTATTATGTTGGAACTGTGGATGGGTATCCTAATAGTGGCTGTGTCATCTGCTAAATTTTGAACTTACGTTTGTGGGAAAGAAAAAATAAAGAGAAAAGATAAGGAAGCATGTGGTTGTGATGATAGATATTTAGGCCTGTGTCTTTTTCATATAAATAGAGAACAGAAGATGAAGATAAGAAAATATATATATTTATAGAGATGTGCTGGGCTTTTATTTTTACCTCTCTTGGATTTGGATTGAAATTTGAAAGTGACGTGCTTGAAGGGATTGGTTTGTTATACAAAGGTTGTCTTCTTCATATTTAGCTTTTTCATTTTTTTCATTAAAAAGACAAAAAAAAAAAGGGTACATAAAAGGCCAGCCCATCATATTTGAAAAATTTGAGCTTAAGCTCAAATTTTGATTGTCTTCTTTGAAGGGCCAATATCAGTCGATAAAAATTTGCCATAAAGTTGTACTAATTTTGAAGGACTACATAATAATTACGTGATCATTAATTATATTATATCTTCAAGGACCACAGATAACCCCAGCACTAAAAGAAAATGGGGGCGCGCGCGCGCGCGCACACAATATGATAGTGCCCCCAAATAAAAGTTCCAAAGACGTGCAAAATCTTGTGTTGTACGTTGGTGCCAAGAGGAAGCTCTGAGTTTCATTTGATCTCTGGTTTATTTCAGATTCTTTAGATATAGATTTAAGGGTTGTCATCATGTTGAGACTTCTTGGGTAGTTTGCTCTCTGCTTATTTCATCAAAAGTTGACACACACACACATATTAATTATGAAATTACGAAATTATAATTAGAGTAGTATGTATGTTCGCTATTGGAAATTTATAGTTACAATGAGTATATTCGCAAATTTTGCGCTTGGTGTGAATTTTGCTTCTGATCATTTATTCACCTTTTATGAAGTTTAGAAGAAAATACATTAATTTAAATCTCGTAAAACTATTTTAAAAGTTTTAAGATCATAAATATTTTTAAAATAAAAATTATTATTATTATGTTTAATGTAATTTATAATTGTGGAAACTAAGATTTTCAATTTACCTATATGAAAAATATTTCAATAACATATTGGTATCCACGTCCCATCCTATCCTAATTGATGCAACTAAATTCTTAAATTCTTATAGTTTTAACTCGTACTGTTCCAATAGTTAGTCATTTACAACACTAATCCTTAAATTTCAGAAAAATATTAATTATTATAATTTTATTTTCTAAAATGTAGGAATGAACATGGGGTTTTAAATCTTAAATAGAACATCTTTAAAGAGGGACTCATATCCTCTCTAAATCCCCCTATTTTCTTTTCCCTCTCAATCCCACTTTCACCCTTAAATCAAAATGAATAGTTTAAATTTAATATTTTATAAAACTATTATACAATATTACATAAAAATAAATCTAAATTGTTAAAACTTGACCTACAAAGTACTCAAATGTAGACTATTATTGATATATCATGTAAATTAAAATGTATTTTTTCATATTGTAGTGCTGAACTGTGCAGATCAAATATTAATCATTTATTTTTTTTTAATCTAAAAATGAAGATGAAATTGTGAGGGAAAAAAAAGTAAAGGAGGAATTTTGAGAGAATCTAAATGTTTTAGATTGGGTCCATCAGGCCACTAACTAAAATCACAATTATCACCTTTTTTTTTTGTCATCAAAATCATAATTATCCTCTATTATACTTTTTTATTCATGACAATCATGTTCAACATGAAATTATATATATTTTATAATATGAAGTTATATATTAAATCTCTTTTATTTATATACCTTTTATTTTTAAAAAATTATATTTAAGAGGCCAAAGAAAAAGTCATGTTGGCGTCCAAATGCCTAAAATATCTAATGATTATTTCACACAGACTAAAAAAAATCTTAAACTTTATTAATAACTCTCATTTAAAATTTAACAACTTTCTAACTTTATCCCTATTTAATATACATTATATATATCTCATGTAAACAAAATCAACACAATAATAAATAAAGGGTAAAATTATATATTCATATAAAAATTTTCTAAGTGCCATATAAATATGATCATAAAAGTCTTTCTCTTGCCTTATAAATAGAACCAAAAAAGTAAATCTGTTCCCAAGTTTTTATCCAGAAGATCTAAATATTTGAAAGTTTTTTATGAACAAGTTTGTTTTAGAAATTTAAAATTACAATAATACTATTTTTTGTCAAGGAACAAAAAACCAGACCAGACATTAAACTGGTTGAGGGAGTTGTTTAAGAGTTAGTGGGTCAGACCGAGGTCCAACGAAATCAAATCGGTCATATTAAAATAATATAGTTTAATTAAAAATAAAAAAAATATAACAACAATAATAATCACCAATATAAAATACAAGAAAATACAACAATAGTTTGACTGTAACAATAACAAAGTATAACAATATAAGAAATTTGATGTTTATGATTCCTTAATAACTAAAATTTAATAATTATTAATACCAAAATTATAATCAAAATTTATTCAAATTCATAATGACTGAGATATTAGGAGCTGCATGAGAAAAATACTATCAATAACAATATAATTATCCAAACCGGTTCATTACCGATTCACACCGGTTCCACTGGTTCACCCCCCGGTTCGATATAAAGCCAGTTCGGTAATTAAACCAAATCAGACCACAGGTCAGTTCATCGTTTTTCCAGTTGATTCGGCTTGTTCGGTCTGATTTTGTTCACTGTTTTTATGGTCAAAAGACTAACGTTAATAATTAAAATAGTGACGTGATCATTAATAATTTTAAGAATATAGGATAATATTGTTTTTAAATTTTTGGAGTAAATTTATTTCCCCAAAAACTCTCAGATACTCAATATTAAGTAAAAACTCTTATAATAAATTTACATCTTAACCTAATCATTTAACCTAATCATTAATAATGCAAACAAAGCAAAGAATCAATATTCAAAAATGATGACCTCATTCATGTTCGCGTCATCCCAAGTGACTTAAAGCGAAGCGTCAAGATAAGATTTCTGACTTGGTTACTCGGAGTCTTCCATCCAAGCATCTATAAATTAGGCTGCCATATATCTTCACTTCACCACACTGAACCATATTTTCTAATAATCTTCCTCTTTTTCACAAACCTACTTTCCTTTAGCTTTACTACTCTGAAATGAGCTTAAACATCAACAAAATCGCAAATGACGATGAAGGTCGAAAACTATGCCCTGCTCTTTCAAACGTCCTTGCTTCCAAGTCTGAATGAATATTATTGTTTCGATTCCCTTTGAATTGGCTAATATGGGTGGTTTGATGATTTATTTTCCTGCAGAAAGTAGTGTTGAAGTTGGAACTGCACGGTGATAGAACCAAGCAAAAGGTCATGAAAACTACCTCAGGCATATCAGGTATACTCTGTCTCCTTAAGCAAATCCTGAGTTTTAAGTCTTCAAAGCAAAAATTCACGACGGTTAAAGTTTTAAACCCAATTTCATTCGAACTTGGATTATTAGCTGATTGTACAGAATACTATACGGTTGCTATGGCACAGGGGAAAATTGACTGGTTTGGTTTTCTTTTGCAGGGGTTGAGTCAGTGAACATGGACATGAAGGACAAGAAATTAACCGTAACAGGAGACATCGACCTAGTTAAGGTAGCAGGAAAGCTAAGGAAGTTGTGTCATACAGAGATAGTGTCTGTTGGAGAAGCCAAGGAGTCTGAGAAGAAAAGAAGAAGAAAGATAGAGGATATAGCTAAAGCAATTGTGCCTGCTCCTTTGAATTACAGCCACGGTTATTATCCACTGCCACCTTATTATGTTGGAACTGGGAAGAGTATCCCAATTGTGGCTGCGTCATCTGCTAAATTTTGAATTATGTTGCGGGGAAAAAAAATGAAGAGAAAGATAAGGAAGCATGTAGTTGCGATGATTAGATATGTAGGCTTTGTCTTTTATATATATTTATAGAGAGAGATAACAGAAGAT